TGGCACTGAGTGCCCTGGGCTGGGGACATCGGGCACAGCTCAGACCCGAGCTCTGTCCCAGGGGTTCTGTGACACCCCCACGGGTGGGAGAGGGGAGTTCCTTTGGGAAAAGGGATCTTTTGGGGCAAACGGGACACGGGCAGGTCCCTCACCAAGGCCACGATCCCATAGTGCTTCTCCACCCTGGTGCGGAGCTCCCGGAAGCAGGCGCAGAGCCGCTCGTGCAGGGGCTTCAGCTGCTCCGTCAGCTTCTCACCGTGGAGCCGGATCCCCTCGGCCAGCAGGGGCATCTGGGACAGCGAGGGAGGGACGGACAGAGGGACAGAGGGACAGACAGAGGGACAGAGGGAGGGATGGACAGGGATGGATCAGGGATGGATGGATGGACAGGGATGGATGGACAGGGGTGGACAAGGACAGAGGGATGGATGGATGGACAGGGATGGAGAGACAGGGATGGATGAGGGATGGATCAGAGAGGGATGGATGGACAGATGGATGGACAGGGATGGATGGATTTGGGATGGATGGATGGATGGACAGGGATGGATGGACAAGTGGACAGGGATGGACAGACAGGTATGGATGGATGGACAGGGATGGAGGGATCAGGGATGGATGGATAAGGGATGTATAGATGGAGGGATGGACAGACGGATGGACAAGGATGGAGGGATGGACAAATGGATGGATGGATGGATGGATGGATGGATGGACAGGGACAGAGGGATGGATCTGTGTTATTGATCTCCACAAATCTCCAAACCATGTGAACACATCTGCACTGCCCCAGTGCTCCCAGTGCTCCCAGTGCTCCCCTCCCAGTGCTCCCAGTGCTCCCGGCTCTCCCAGTGCTCCCAGCACTCCCAGTGCTCCCAGTGCTCCCAGTCCCACCTGGATGGCGATCTGCTGCTTGAGCAGCTCGATCTTGTCCTGATCCTCGGGATGCTCCTGGAGATATTTGTCGGTGAAGAAGGCCTGGAAGAGAATGTGAGGGTGGCACAGGGGTCACAGGGCACAGAGGTGACATGGGTGACATGGGTGACACGGGTGACACAGGTGACACAGGTGACATGGGGACAGCACCTTCTCATAGTTGCTATATCCCCCCATGACAGCGGGGTCCACGATGCCGCTGAGCAGCAGGGACAGCGGGTGACACAGGGCACAGGTTACACGGGTGACATGGGTGACACTGGGGACACACAGGTGACACACAGGTGACACTGGGGACACACCAGCACCTTCTCATAGTTGCTGTATCCCCCCATGACGGCGGGGTCCACGATGCCGCTGAGCAGCAGGGACAGCGGGTGACACGGGGGACACAGGACACACAGGACACACAGGTGACACAGGTGACACTGGTGACACACACAGGTGACACACAGGTGACACGGGTGACACTGGGGACACACAGGTGACACAGGTGACACAGGTGACACAGGTGACATGGGGACAGCACCTTCTCATAGTTGCTATATCCCCCCATGACGGCGGGGTCCACGATGCCGCTGAGCAGCAGGGACAKCGGRTGACACRGGGCACAGGWYACACRRKKGRCACACRGGTGACACAGGACACACAGGTGACACACAGGTGACACAGGTGACATGGGGACAGCACCTTCTCATAGTTGCTATATCCCCCCATGACAGCGGGGTCCACGATGCCGCTGAGCAGCAGGGACAGCGGGTGCACGGGGGCCCAGGTTACACGGGTGACACACAGGTGACACAGGACACAGAGGTGACACAGAGGTGACACAGGTGACATGGGGACAGCACCTTCTCATAGTTGCTATATCCCCCCATGACGGCGGGGTCCACGATGCCGCTGAGCAGCAGGGACAGCAGGTGACATGGGTGACACAGGACACACAGGACACAGAGGTGACACGGGTGACACTGGGGACACACAGGTGACACAGGTGACACAGGTGACACAGGTGACATGGGGACAGCACCTTCTCATAGTTTCTATATCCCCCCATGACAGCGGGGTCCACGATGCCGCTGAGTAGCAGGGACAGCGGGTGCACGGGGGCACAGGGCACACAGGTGACACACAGGTGACACAGAGGTGACACAGGTGACATGGGTGACATGGGGCCAGCACCTTCTCATAGTTGCTATATCCCCCCATGACAGCGGTGTCCACGATGCCGCTGAGCAGCAGGGACAGCGGGTGACACAGGGCACACAGGACACAGAGATGACACAGGTGACACATACATGACACAGGTGACACAGGTGACAC